CACGACGCTTTTTACTAGGCAACTTTAAGGCTTCAAGTTGTCTGCTCTCTAAGAAATTTGTGTTTCGGTGTGTCTTTGGACGAAAGTCGAAAAAAATTATTTCTATGGTTTTGATTCTAAGTCGCTCTTCAAACTACTTTTTCTTGGTTGAAGAAGAGTCCAGAAGTGTGCGTGAATCTTGGTCAGCTATCTTGACGCGGTTTCAACACTGGGCGCTCATCTCTGCTTGTCGTCCACGGTTCAAAACTCTTTCGCCAGGGTCCGCGGCTCAATCTGTCTTCTCTCGGCTTGGGTCGAACGAACTGAACTTCTCCAGAGTCTGAATTACTGGTCACTCATCTCCGCCGTCGGTGCGCTTTTAACTTCTTCTCTTCGGCTTGGGTGGTGCACGAACGAACTTCTTCGTCGGCTTGGGTCGAACGAACTTCTTCACTTAGGCCAAACGAACTGGCCTCTCCTGCCCGCAAAGGGGCGAACGAACCTGGGCCGCCGTCCGCCGTTCCGCCTGCCGTCCGCGGCTGAACTGATTTCTGTCGGTTGGGGTCTTTTTTTATTGACGCAGTCAAAACTGGGGTGGGTCTGTCGGCGCCAGGGTTCTTCGATAATTCTAAATACGTATCCACCCTTCTTATTTCTGGTTAGGATTTTTCATTCTTTTCCATTTTCGGTAACTCACTTTCTCCCCACTCCCTTACTGTGCCTCTGAGGGCGTATACCCGCTTCCCCACTTCTTCGTATCGGCTCCTCACACTTACACTTCTGATAGGGGCGTCGACCGATTCTCCTCCTGTGTCACGTGACCGCTCTCGGCCAATGAGGTCCTGGTCGGTATCTTTCCTCCTCCTTCGTATGTCATGTGATCTATTTAACCAATGACGTCTTTAGTCGGGCGTGGACAATCCGTGGCTTTGTTTTGGGAAAGAAATACCTTGCTTAAAAAAAAAAAATATTAATTTAAATCGCCCTTATCATGAGCGACTAAGATGACACTCTCGGCTTTTTAACACGTGGTATTTGTCAAGCAGTTTATCGCTAATTGGATATAATCTAAGAAAGGAATTTTCAGACCTGTTGGCGTTTTTGAAGCAGAAATAAAAATATTTGATTTTCCTCCGCTCGAAGGTCTGATAATAAAAAATCTTTATTATCGCAGGCCGGTTTATTTTGTCAAAAAAAAATTTTTGCCAGTGACATCATCTTGTGTGGGCTTTTTTCTAATTTTGAGACTGTCTGTGTTTTCCTATTAACGGTTTGTCTTCATATCCTTAGATACACTTCCCCACCCACTTAGACCTTTACTATCATTCCAATGACACTTTCCACTTGTTACTTATCAATATTTTCATTGTCCCTAAACTTCGTTTTTTTCTTTTCCTCCTTTCTTTCTTTCCGACATTTGACATCCAATTGATAACAAACTTCCATTTTTCGTGGACCCACGGAAATCGGTGAGATGCTTGAGTTGATATGAATATTTTCGACACCTGTTATCTATCAGCCGTGTGTGTATGTGCTCGCCTATGAAATGTTTTCGTATTTTTTTTCTTTCTTTTTCTTCGTTTTTCCTTTCTTCTTCCAGATCGCTTGAATAAAGAAAGAATTATTTAAAACCCAAAATATTTTTCATTTAAATAATTATTAAATGGTTGATAAACCGTAAAAAACAAATCATATATCTATGAATATTTCTCTCAGCTCGTCAGTTATGCATGGTGCCACAATTATGTAAAGAAACATCTCCCGACACCTTTAGCCAGACGTACAGCTGGACAAACGACCCGAAATTGAAAAGAATACTTATGGCTGGCAGAAGTTTCGCACATGGAAACTAGCGTAACTATATCTACTTGAAGAACTTTGAATATCTAAACAAAATTTTACATAGCCACAACTTCCTTGATGACGAAATGCATATGTCTCTGTGGTACTATTTGTTAGCGTCTACAATGCAATCTCAATGTTGCTATATTAAAAATTGCATATTTAATTATCAGCTGTTTTATCGTAGAAATTTCTATTAAATCACTACTTTTTGTCGAGGAATGGATTGTGAAAATTGGCTTTTCAGTGATTGTAGAAAATGCCAAACATTAAAGATAGAATATTAGAATACACACGTAAATATAAGTTAATAATAGTTTAAAATGAAAATATACTCACTCTTTTAAAATTTATCTATTTTGAAATTGTTTTATTTTTTTTATTTTTTTTCGAATAATTTCACTTATCACGATAGAATGAATACTTCCTTTATCTATAAAATACTTGGCACTTGTCAAATATTTTAATTAAAATAACGTTAGTATTTGTTGGGTAAATATTATGTAATTTCAATTCACTAAATTGACAAGAACTATCTCTGAACAATACGCTAGATAACATTTTTAAACTTCCCTTATTTTCTAGTCTTGATCATGAAGATAGAATTCCTGATTTCCAACATTCCTATTGCCATGCGATGAAAGAATCTTCACAAATCGGTGAATTTCATATATTACGTCCCAGATCTTACCACAAAAGGTACAATTTTATTATTTTTAACTGGAATCGCATAATCCAGTTTATTGTATAATGCAGATATCACTGTTTTTTTATGTGTATGTCTGTGTGGATATTTGTAAGAGTGCATGTTTGATATTTGTAATGAAATATTCTTCATATGTCTATATATTACTCATTCATGTTCGAAAGTGGCATTTCGAGATTAACAATGGCAATAAATTTTGGAGTGAATTAAAAAAAATAAATATAAGCAGATTATTTTGTATGCGTGTGGATCCGAGTGGCATACAAAATTGTAATGTTAAAAAATAATTAAAGTCGGGCAGATTTTTGTATTTATATTTACATATACTATATATAATGATAATATTGCTTAAAGGAATAAGACTTGAAAAAGCAAAACAAAGAAGGAAATAGAACCTTTTTAACAGAAGCATATCGACTTAAGTTTGTGGGAAGAGAACTGATATATACTTCGTTTTATTCTTCACAAAAAACTATTTCCACTCACATCAATCCGTAAGAAAGTGTCACGGCTTCTTTAGACTTTTCCTCGAAGGTACTTTTTCAACTTAAAATCTTCTGAGGGTGAGACTGTTACGTAATTTTGTTTATGCCTCCAAATGTTTAACTTAACCTTCTCGTCGGGTAAACTATACGCATATTTTGTTTTGTATTAAGGTTGTTTGTTCAAATTATTCGCACTCTGTAGAAGCTTAGTTGCATATATTAAACTCTTTACTCCACAAGTAATTTTTTCAGCCTACATATTATTCATCAGGCTTAAAACATGTCCATAATCATCAAATACAGCATCTAGATCCTTTATTGGTGAAAACGGCATATGATCACGATTTAAAGTGACAAAAAATAAATCATTTTATATCTATGATTATGGCAATTTAGCCTGTAAAATGAGAGAGTTCACCCGAAATGAACTCGGTGTACATGGCGCAGATTTATCGCTTATTTGCGTGTAACACATCAATCCGAGGCTACTGTAGGGATAACATGTATATCCGCTGTTAAATCTGGGCGGAGCTACTGATTAGATCTACTACACCTTGTGGTCTGAAGCTATTTGCTTTGACAGTCTCACGCTAGATTCACTAGAGAATTCTTCCATTATGGTTTACGGTAACTTGGAAGAGAAGGTCGTATCAGCACTGACTAATATAATTTTATACAAGGATTTCTATTCCATTACGTGAGTTTACACGAGACAAATACAAACCAGTTTTTTTTTTTATATATGGTATAATTTTATATGGGAAATATTTCATTTCTTTGTCAGAATGAGAAGTATTTTTACAGAGGACGGAAAGTTCGACAGAAAAATAAGAAGGTGCATTGGGATAGCAAAAGATGGCTTCCGCATGCTAAGCAATGTATTAAGCAACCGGAAAAAGTAAAATAAGTATATTGAAATATAATCTAACACCTATCTTACAGGCTATTGAATGCTGGGTAATCTCAAAACAGATGAAGAAGAGATTTGAACAAATAAAAATATAGTTCTACAGAGGGACACTGGGGATATTATGAACCGAAAATGCGAGCAACGACGAAGTTTTCGAAAAAAATAGAAACAAAACGAAGCTTATACGTAACACAAGAAAGAAACAGTTGAAATCTTTAGAACACATAATGAGGAAAAAGAGATAGTAAATTTTATACCCGCAGACATAGTAAAGGCAAAAAGGAAAAAGAAACGCAATACATAACCTCCCTACCGAGTTTGAGTATATTAATGGTAGAGCAGTGTTTCGTAGAGAGACTAAAAAATATTAATGTCTGCAAATGAGATGGAATTGTCGAGAGCCATGATCAAAAATGTCCTGAAACGACACCACACATCGAAGAAGAATAATTAAACCTATGCTTTATTGAAGCACTCAGCATTTAGAGAGTGTTTATCTAAATAGGTGTAGACCTCTTTGCTTAGTGAAAGATAACGAGTGTGTTGCCATGTAGCAACATTTTGCAATAACCTGTGTCAGGCGTGTTGTTCAGAAAAGAGTGATACGTGTCGAAGGCTTGATAGAATTTCTTTGTCTGACATCAATTCTTGCAAAAATAGATCATCTCTTCTTTCTTAGGGACCGGCCGTTACTTTGTTATGAAAACAAAAAGAGCAACAAAACATGAGGTGATCAGTATTTTCTAAATCCTTTTCTCATTTTTTGCCTATTATCTCTCTTTTACATAAAACACACACATATATATATATATATATATATATATATATATATATATATATATATATATATATTACTTATAATAGTATATCGCCTGATACATCAGCTTGGGTTTAATCTTAACAAAAAGAACAGCATAGAAATACATATGAACAATTCTTTGTTACCATCCGTGTCTTGTCATCGGGATATTTTGAGAGAAGAGAAAATAATGAAGCTGACTTATGCCCTTTTGTTGATCACGCGTGTCTAAGTCTCATTAACCGTTTCCTTAGCTATCTGCTGAAGGGTCCAAAATAAATGTCCTTTGCATCTCCCTCATTCTTTTATGTATCTTTGTTCACATATGTCTGCCAATCTATACCGCTATGTAAGCTCGCATACGATATTCGCGAATCGAAGTAGACAAATTTCTTCTTTGGTTCTAACAAGAATAAAAACATTTATGTTTAAGATTCCTGTATCTAGGACTTGGGCAATGGATATTTGCCATGATGACTGATTCATTTTTTCAAGAATAAGAATTCCATATACCTATGTTTTCTTTAATCTACAATTATTCTCTTCAATCTATCCTCAAATATCGAGCGAAAGTATTCCTTAAAAATATGTGGTTGTTGTAATCGAGTTACAACTCTGATTAAATAATCTTAAAGCCCCTATCATTTTTGTATACAGATTTACTCGGAAAATTAAGAAACAGCAAACTTAGAAACAAGAAAAATGAGTAAGATTTATTATCTGGTTGTTATAAGGTGTTGGAGAAACCAGAGACAGCAATACTGAAGTAAATTTTGAGTTTGGGGTTAAATGTAGATCATATCCGAAAGAAGGATAAGATAAAAAATAAGCAAAGTTTATACATTTTTTTCTTGTTTGTTTTTGTATAGATATATGTAATGAATTTCCAGATAATTTAGTTGGAAAATTGAAGTGTCTGGTTTTCTTACCTTGAAGTTTTGTTGATTGCGTAAAGATTGTTACTTTTATGTCCTCAAAAAGAATAAAAGAGACAAAATTTTCGTTGACGCACGGTTTGACGGTCTATTCGTGTTTACTGCTTGTTCGATAGTGAGAATGTTACGTGTTTGTATGTTTTCAGGAGAAAAGTGGGGTCGATTGTCCTTGGTTTAGAATAAGTGAATTAATGATGATTGTAATTATTCTATTTTATTCTAATTATTTTTGACACTCTAATTAATTTTTATTTATTTATTTTTATGGACAAACTGTTGATGCTATATTTTATTTAACAGAAAAATAACCTAGCTAGATGTTTATGCTCAAAAGTACATGTATCACATATGTTTGGATATTCCTATTAAAATCTATAGGGGAGGATACTGGAATTTTGTTATTCAGTACCCTCCCCAAAAACTGGACCAATTTTATAATCTTCGGATTTAAAACAAAAAAAAATGAACGGCTGATAGATAATTGAAATTAAAGCTACCTTCAACGCTATGTTAGTCACATAGGATGATGTTACCCAAAATATTTTAAACTACTCGCAATTCCTAGTTGGTTACTTATCTTTCCTCCTTTCCCCTACTCTTCTGATTAAGCCAGGATTTGTAACACGCAGTGTGATGCAGTTGTAGCTCAGTTGTCATTGGTATGAAACGGCAATGGACGAGTGGACTAAACATTTACAGAAATCCGTGGCAATTAACCCACGCTTAAAACAAATGAGATTAAGGATTAAAGATTAATTAATTTTGTTTGAGTAATACAATATAGCCTTCTTAAGTACATAAAGGTAAACTAGATGTAAACTAACAAAAATTAAAACCAGTAATTATCAATCGCTTTTATGTCTTTAAAATAAACATTAATTCTTAACTCAACTATGGCACTATACACCTAGTATTACTCTATCGCAAACATAGGCTTTCAAGCAATAAGATAACAACATTGACAACTACATAATTATTTTCTAATAGATTTGAGGGAGTCCTACTTTAAATTATGTGTTTTTGTCATACCCATAAACTGATATTTTGTTTTATTTATCAATATACAACGTTGTTTAAGACTTAGCCATATTTAGAAAACGTTTGCTATATTTGAATATTTTTCTAGATGTATTGTTCCTTTTAAGTGTGCTTTTTCCAAAGATCGAAATATGTTCATTCATTCTATTATTCTTTTAAATCATTTCTGCGAAATCCAGGTAAGAAGAGACACTAACATTCGAGGGGTTTCTGCAAGCGTAAACAAAAAAGGCAATAGATAAACAAGGTTCAAGGAGACAGATTAAAAAAAATTACATTTTCTAGTTGAAAGGAAAGCAGTCAGAGGGAAGAGATTTCGACAGGCGACAAGTGCGCGAGAAGAAAATATTGACATCTGATTACAACTAGAAATTTCGCCGGAGAAATTGTTGATACCTAGCTGACAAACTATTACTGCGCATGAATTTGTAAAATCGATGTACCTATGTGTAAATCTCATCATAACAAGTAGTGCGAAATTATTTATTGTATATGTAAAGTGAAATTGCACTTTGGCGAAGCGCAAATGACTGAAGACGACATACCACGTCAAGATCGATCACTTTGTAGATACTTCTTTGTATTTTCTCAAGAATCTTAAGACACAAATCAGAAGATCCAGGTCTTATATGGCAGAAATATTCGAACACGGAAGAACAGTAGACTTATAAATGTCAAAGGTAGTTACTGACGAGTGAAACTGTTTACTAGGAAATAGTTAACCGATATTTTCTGAAGCAGACATAGCTATTGAATCGGTATAAGCTCTAGACCAAGAAAGATCACTGAGGCAGTCTTTGGGGGTTAGCATCAATCATATTGATCGAAGGTGTAATATTTACTTAAAGATGATTTCTAGAGAGATGTTTCGTTTTAGCAGAGTTGAAATTAACAACTACACGTTGAATATAGTCATTATGTAAATCAGCTGGAATGCGATTATATCAAAAGTCTCAGTCTCACGTTTAAGACTAGATTGCATAAACATGTGATCAAACTATATTTGATGACACAGTACGACAGAGATGAGAAATGATGGCATCAAAAATGTCCTTAATAAAAATAATGATCTGGGTGGTGCAAGAATAGTATAATGAAGGTGATTGAATGTCCGTTTAAGATGGCTTTTATGACCCAGTTTCATAAGAGAGATTGAATCAAATCAAAGAAAGCCAGAATGATCATAGCTCTTCAGCATGAGAAGAAGGACAGCTTCCCAATCATGGTGAATTGCTTTCAAAATATCCACAGCGAAAGACTATTTCAATTATAACAGTTAACACTTCGAGGATTAACCGCAAGAAACAATTCCATATGGTTTGTTTTAAAATGAAAAGACATTGCGAGGTAAAATCCATAAGAACCTCAGAGATGATTAAAATCATGTATGAAATTAAGAATATGAAATGGTGAAAATTTACTCATTGCACCATGTATATGAAAAAATCATTTTTCACAGAAAAGTTCCAGGATCGCATGGATACACTTATATATGCGGTATATGACAAAATGAAAGTTCTGTGTAACTAAACATTTTCCCAACATGTTTTCAATGACTTTTTGAAGCAAAAATGAGAAAAATCAATTATCCAGAACAAATAGTCTAGAAATTAATAGCTAGACCCTTTCGAATTTTGATTAAATCCAAAAGATCATAATTTGATAAATACTTGTAGTAATGACAATGTTTGACCGGTTCCGAAATTCTGAGATTGTCTATTTCTTCAGTAGTTATAGGCTGTATCACTTGTGTATTCTATAATATTCTCTGAATTCTCTTAATCTGTTCGTCCCTTCGTTACACCCGATACAATAGACATACATTGACCTATTAAAACCAAATGTTGGGGAGAAGTGCAAATATGTAAGCAGGTATAAAGTACAGTTGGTTTTACTATTGTACGTAGCTTAGTACCACACATTTTCATTCATATATTGAGGAAAAAAATATTTAACATACTCCCACTATTCTGTGAATTTATTCTTAGATGGTAAAATGTGTAAATGAAAAACAGAAATTTTCCTTAAATATTTTGTTTTCTCTGAATCCTATAAAAATAAATTAAAGAGATTATTAGAGTTGTCAAATTATTTTATAGACAAATCAGCTCATTAAAACTTCATCAATTTCTTTGGAAAAGTGAACGAAACGTAGAGTTTGTAAATCTTGACAAAATTCTTAATGATAACTTCAATAACACTAAATACTGTGAGGATTTCAATACTCGCCAATGTTTTTAAAAAAATATAGTTTTCATAAAATGCCAAATCTTCATTTACGAGGCTACTATGTATATGATTCTTACACTTATTTTTGTCTCAGATTTCGGAAATTGTCCGTGGTGAGGTTTTAGATGCTGATTTACAGTTTTGAATACATATATAAACGAGTTCGATAAATATTATTCATAATTGTATGTGCCCATGATACAGAGGTTGCGTAGTTTAATGGATAATAATTATCGAACTTATCCATTTGACCACGAAAATTGACGTTTGCGTCATCCAATTTTAGGTTTACTAAATGACTTTACCATTTTAACATATGACTCAGGGCGATTATTCTCTTATTTTAGAAAGACTAATGCGAAGCTCTCAAATATGAAATTTGTCTATAGACTAAAGTAGAAGCAATACAACTCCCTCAATATCTCTGTATTTCTCTCTCACTCTTTCTCTTACTAACACTCTTTCTCTCTCTCACTATTTCTCTCTCACTCTTTCTCTCTCTCACTCACTCTCACTCTTTCTCTCTCTCACTCACTCTCAATCTTTCTCTCTCACTCACTCTCAATCTTTCTCACTCACTCACTCTCAATCTTTCTCACTCCTCCTCTCAATCTTTCTCTCTCCCCCTCAATCTTTCTCTCCTCCTCTCAATCTTTCTCACTCCTCACTCTCAATTTCTCTCTCACTCCTCTCAATCTTCTCTCACTCTCAATCTTTCTCACTCACTCACTCTCAATCTTTCTCACTCACTCACTCTCAATCTTTCTCACTCACTCACTCTCAATCTTTCTCACTCACTCACTCTCAATCTTTCTCTCTCTCCTCCTCTCAATCTTTTCTCTCTCCTCTCAATCAATCTTTCTCTCTCCTCTCCTCTCAATCTTTCTCTCTCTCACTAACTCTTTGTCTTTCTCTCTCTCTCTCTCTCTTTCTCTCTCTCTTTCTTTCTCTCTCTCTCTTTCTTTCTCTCTCTCGCTCTCTCTCTCTCGCTCTTTGTCTCTCTCTCTCTCGCTCTTTGTGTTTCTCTCTCTCTCACTCTTTGTTTCTCTCTCTCTCTCACTCTGTTTCTCTCTCTCTCTCACTCTGTTTCTCTCTCTCTCTCACTCTGTTTCTCTCTCTCTCTCACTCTGTTTCTCTCTCTCTCTCACTCTGTTTCTCTCTCTCTCTCGCTCTTTGTCTTTCTCTCTCTCTCTCTCTCGCTCTTTGTCTTTCTCTCTCTCTCTCACTCGCTCTTTGTCTTTCTATCTCTAACTCACTCATTTACTCACAGACACACACACACAGACACACACACACACAGACACACACACACACACACACAGCAGAAAACCCAGTAACCTGTGGCAATGAACTATGTCTCTTTCTTATATACTAATTTATAAATATATCTGGCGGAGTTTTCAAAATTCCAAAAATATTTACAGTAGAAACATACGTGAAGTTAGTTGAAAACTTTCATAAAAGACACAAGTCTGAGTCTCTATTAAGAAATATTCAGTTCGCTTAGTATATTTAGAACACACTTATCAGATAAAAACAAAACTTATTCAGGAATAGTAAAAAAAATTACCTTAGCGTTTAATTCGATTATTTTATTTGGCGAGTTCTTCAAGTGGCATAGATAAGATTTTAGATTTATTTCCAGTTTGTTTATGATTTAATCTTTTCGATGTTAGTTCCACTTGCGAGACGAAAGTTCCTACTATCCATCTTTAAACTAAGCAATATATATTCATCTGCATTTCACATGGCGTTTCATTTATATAAACTGTTTGTTAAGGTAATAAATTACAACTTTCTAACAACATTAGATTGAAAATGAAGGATTTTCTCATATGTTATGATTCAAACTTGTATGCAATAAATATGGATCCGGCCATGCCTTCTAGAAATTGGTATAACAGTTTCACTATCAAAACTATTATTATGATTCTTGAGTAAATCTAAGCTTGATGTAACTCTCATTGTATTTCGTAAAAGGAATATGCTAATTGGCAGGAGTGACTTTAGGGTTAGGATTTAAAGGAAAGTACACGTGTTTCCGCAATCTATAACAGCAAAGTTTTTTTTTAACTTATATGGGATGTTGAATTTAATACTGAAGACTAACTTTATTACCAATGTAAACTATAATTATGTATTCAGTTCTCACTTAAAACGATCGGAATATGTCAGTCGTATAAATACGAATATGAAAAAATATTAAGTGACAAACATTTTTTTTTTTTTTTGTGGAAGACAAAAACTTGATTATTTTTTAATTGATTTGATACGTTGGGGAAAATACTTTTGGAGTGAAAAATAAAGCCATAATTTTAGATTATATATAACTAAAAGATTATTATTTTTATGACAGTTTTATTAGTTTTCCTCATTGAAAACGTTAATGTGGACTGTGTTTCGATGAAAACTTTAATTTTGAACTCAATACCGCTTTATATAGTAGAATCCGTGACCAAAATGTTGAGGTGATAACCACCAAAAATATGTAACAGAATAGTGTCAGCCCGGTAAAATACCCCGAGTTGGTGGTATTTGGTGCTGTATGCACCAGAAGATTCGTCCTCTTCGAAAATCGATTGTTGAGAGAAGACCATCTACTTAGAGTAGGTGGCGCAAGAAAAGCCACCAGTACGTTAATCTTGACAAGACTTCCATCTTGTAAGGGAAAGCAACGATTCCAATCCCACAACAGTCTCTGGTTGTTTGCTGTCTATAACCAGCAGAGAGATATGCCAATCGTGGACAAAAAGGTCTGTATGGGCAACAATGGTAGAAGGCGAGACGAGTGTCTGTTGTGAGATGTGAATCCTTGCTTTCCGGTTGCATTGTGGAAACCTTGTCAAGATTGACGTAATGTTGGCTTTTGTCGCTCCAACTATTGTAAGTAGTAGGTATTCTCTCAACAGTACACTGTGAAAGAGGGTGCAACTCCTGGTGCTTACGGCACCAAATACAACCAACTCGGAGTCTCGGCTGACCCGATTCTCTGTTACACCATAAGACACGAATTCGAATACAACCATTGCGGATTAGACATTTGCTTGAGTTTCACCCCAGCGTTAAGTGCATATATGTGTTAAATTGGGTAGAGGGAAATTTCAGATAAGTTTGAGGATTGTACTAATATCTTCTCATAGATCTCCAGTTGTGTGCTTTCTAAGTTATGACTTCAGTTTGTACACAAAAAATTTACTTAGCTATAATAAAAGGTTAATTCAT